TACCGCATTTCAAGTCTCTTCATTTCATGGGTTAATCGCTGAATCTATTTTCAAACTGTTATCATTCAAAGAATTTAGTATTTTGTAACTGTTTTCCTGTTTACTATTTCTATGCGCCTATTGCTTTTTACATGAAAAAGAGCGTTTAACTTTCTAAAGAACCGTTTACGTAGGCATTCAGTCTTAGTGCAAAATACACAAACCTTGAATAAATAATTCGCATTAATTTCTGTGAAGAATGTTACCGAGCGTGTCGTGAATATGTGGAAATACGTCTGCTAATTGGAATTTAGAAATATTAAAATTATACTATAAAGTTTTCCATCGATAGTATCTATCGGTATCGGAAAACGGTTTGTTTTCTAATACCATTCTATTATTCAAGTAACGTGTAACCGTGTTAATTACGACACTGCTGAAATATTAGTTGCGTTGTTTTATTCAAAATTGTGATAATTGAAGTAGTAAAATAATTAAAGGATTGTACAAATGTTTTAATCACTTCACCATATTTGTAACTAAATATGTTCAATTTTGTATTAAAATTTTAATTATATTCAGTTAATTTCTTCGATTTTTTCAATTCATGCTCCCTTGAAATTCTACTTTCCCATGCTAACACTATGCTTAACACTAGAAAGACCGATTGGGTCAAAAATGACCCATTAGCAACTTACCAAGAAAAGGTTAATGTTCGATACTGGTAAGTGTTATCGTTTGCAACTTTCCGATTTTGTTTTCTGCAAGTGTACTTCTATTTGCATCAATATGCAAACGTATGCCGACGTTCAACGATGTTTTAGTTACACAAATATTCACTTCTAGAAAGTCGCTAATCGATCATTTTGACCATACCGGTCGCACCAGTGTTAAAAAAGAAAACCTGTAAATACAGTATGATAAATTGTTACAATATCACCCAACACGTAATATATTACATCACGTATTAGTAGGTCCGTTTTATTTTTTGGAGAATTTGTATTTATTTTTTATTGTATTCAAGACTAGAAATGGACTCTACACGATAATCCTGAACGCAGAAAATGGACGCTGTCGTACACAACGGATTTTCAAATTTGGTGCTCTCAAAAATTAAGAATAGAGGAGATGGTCTAAATATGGGCTAGTATTTATCTTAATTTGGGTTATATTTATAAAAATACTAATAATATAATATTAATACTATATTCGGTATATTGAATTCACCGTGGTATTGTCATAAATATAATACCAACAGTGAAAATTTAAACAAGAAAAGAAACATACAGTGCTATGGATGTACAAGCGATGGAAACTTTTGCGTAAACCTAATAATTTCACATAAATCTAGCAGAATGTATTTGCATTGAATTCAATTTAACGGTATAAACGATTCTCTTCGTTGATAAGATCCTCAGTTCTCCGTTCAATCCTCCCAAGCACGCTTATTGAACCTAATATTTCGCAAAGTAATTTCCACTGAAATTAATCCCGCATTTTCCCAGTAGATTTCACGTTTTAACGAGCTCGACAACTTTTTTTCCTGCTTGTTGCGGAAATATTAACTGCAATTTATACTGTTCAGATAGGAAGCTTCGCAATCGATATTAGGCATGCATATGCAATACAATAACAAACCGCTCATAGATACTATCGACAACCGTATATTTTACGATCGAGTAAATGTTAACAAGTATGTAAACGCTCAACGAGAGAATATTTTTCACGATAATCAGCGTGACTTGTAGCCACCGATGCATTGCATAATACATATTTAACGACAAGCCGCTAAATTGTCTTGTAGGTAGAAAATTTGAACGGGATCTCTGATAATTAGAGAAAAAAATATGCAAATTGGAGTAAATATGAATATCGATTTACATACATATTGGAAATTGTCACTTTACTTGAAATTAAAAGAAGAAAATTGTGTTTTTCGTTTAAAAAAAAAAAAAGAGAGAGAAGAAAATGTTATATACAGTTCTGCTATAAACGTTTTGTTGCAAAGTTATTAGCAAATAAATATTGCACATAAGCATGATATGCAGTAGGTACAATAATACACAACTGACTTTACGTGAAGAATTAATGCGAAGAATTAACTCTCCGTAGACAAGCTACGAGGGTGGTTTGAAAAGTTCGCGGCCTAAGTGGGAAGAACTGCTGCTAGGTGCTTGCAATTTTTACGGTGTAATCTGCGATCATTTGCGTACCGACGTACAAAGTTTCGTGGCTCTGTCAGTTTTTCGTTCTCTTTTGCAGCTGGTGAAGTAGGGGTGTTTACAGCGACGGAGAAGAGACGAATAGAAGCGAGGAATGATCCGGTACCTGGTGACGAAGGACATCACCGCAAGGGCCTTGAATGATTTTCGCTAGAATTTCGAATAATTTTTGCAAGGTCCTCGAATGATCTTCGATGCGAGGTCCTTTATCTTCAGGTATTGGATCGCTGTTCGTTTTCTAACTTTGTCCATCTCTACTCCATCTACTGCAAATACCTCTACTTCACTAGCTCTAAAAGGGAGAAAAATGACGACAGAGACACGAAACTGTATACATTAGTACACAATTAATTACACATTATTCGATAAAAATTACAACAAATTACAAGCACTTAGCTGCAATCCTTCGTACTTAGACCGTGAACTTTCAAATCCATCCTAGTAATTGTTTTACTGTTTCAAGCTTCCAGAAAATCTGAAAAAATTCTGGAATACTTATCAAAGTTTCTACTACATGACACAATTGTTCGTTACGTCAAATTACAGCTGTTTTCAATAAAAATGAAAATTCGTTTTGAGGAAATGCGGGAGCGCAATTTCACTTGGGTCGTCAGACACTCCGATTGTCTAATGAG